GGTGAAAGCTGATCCGGCGATCCACAGCGCAAAGTTGTAGTATTTCCTCAGCGACCAGCACGGATCAGCTCCAGGCATGACGAAGCAGATATCGTCCTCTTTTGAAAGGCCAAAGTAGTTACACTTTCACAATGAAACACAGCGCCTTCACGACATGACGGCGGCAACAATACTACAGCGAGAATAAAAGTTTCACCTTCTTTCTTTGCGTGAACATTTGGGCGGCGTTATGCAAATCTTCCCACATAGTGAGGTAGACATGTGGGGGGCGTGTTAGAACGAGCCGTTTTAGGTAGGTGTGGCTGACTCTTAACTTTTATAAAGAATATCTCTTTGGATTTGAGACTTTAGTCTTTGCAACTTTACAGATCTTCTTTATGCACCAAGAGCTTGTAACACTCCAAAGAGAAAGGAAAAATTGAAATCGCATCATACGACCCCTTTAAACAGCTTTCCGTTTTTACTGTTCAGGTTTCTACATTTTCTGTTCAGTTTCTATATTGTCTAAAAAAAAAAAGCAATCAGCGTGAGACCATGTGTAAGTGATTTTATGATAATTAATAACCCAAAACACCCCAGAAAATGATAAAATCACTGTAAGACACAGCCTCAAGTAGCTTATTTCAATAGTTTAGCTCATTTACTGGGGTTTTCATTTCATTTACCATTTTATGCCATAACAGTAGGGTTCTTATGGTAACTTTTCGTTATTTGAAATAAAATAAACATTAACTGAAATAAAATTAAATAAAATTGAGTTGATAGTTTTAGTTTAACTTGATGTTTAAAAAAAACTAAAATATAAATGTCTAAAAAAAAAAGAATAGTCATACTAAACTATATAGACATATACAAAGTACTAAAACACAACAAAACAATGAAAACCTTAACCAAAATTAAAATGCAAACAAAAAATATAAAAATAAAATAGATTCAAAATATTAATAAAAACTATGATACTAAAACAGCCCTTATCAGTATCACAGGCTATATTCATTGAGTAATAACATTTGAAATGGTCTTAATTATTTAACAATACACATATATAGTTTGATATTTGATAAAAATTCTAATATTTTCCCAGTATAAACATTTCCATTATGTCCATTAATGTAACCTACTTGTATATAAATACACATGGGTAAGTCTTGTGTGACCAATTCTACATAGAGTTCATACGGTTTAGTTATTTCTTTTTTCAAAAATGATTAGCTTTATCATTTGTTTGTTTACGGTGATCGTTGTTTACCTCATGTTCTCAGGATTCAGCAGGTGTCTCTTTATCCGGGGAAGTTTCCTCAAAACTGAAGTCAGATCAGTCATCTCGGCTATTCTTTTCATAAACTTCACCTGAAATTAAAACATGATACATTTACAACAATTTACTGTACAAAGCTGATGAAGACTGGTGCTCAACATGAGGAACACTCACCTGGTCCATCCCGCCGAAGGTCTCCTGCAGGTCTGCTGTGGGCGCAAGCGTTCGAGCCGCACTTGTCATCGCGTACATGTGACCGGAGTACGAGATGCCATTGGACAGCTCCTGAGCTGACATCATGACCAGCACACGCAGACGCTGCTCGTCATCAAAATGAGGGCTGAAAATGTAAACCGAAGATTCGGCATAAGTCTAAAATCATTACACTTGCACAGAGATTTAAAGATTTATTTTTTCTGTCTCTTTAAAAAAGATAACATTTGAAATGGTCTTAATTATTTAACAATACACATATATAGTTTGATATTTGATAAAAATTCTAATATTTTCCCAGTATAAACATTTCCATTATGTCCATTAATGTAACCTACTTGTATATAAATACACATGGGTAAGTCTTGTGTGACCAATTCTACATAGAGTTCATACGGTTTAGTTATTTCTTTTTTCAAAAATGATTAGCTTTATCATTTGTTTGTTTACGGTGATCGTTGTTTACCTCATGTTCTCAGGATTCAGCAGGTGTCTCTTTATCCGGGGAAGTTTCCTCAAAACTGAAGCCAGATCAGTCATCTCGGCTATTCTTTTCATAAACTTCACCTGAAATTAAAACATGATACATTTACAACAATTTACTGTACAAAGCTGATGAAGAATGGTGCTCAACATGAGGAACACTCACCTGGTCCATCCCGCCGAAGGTCTCCTGCAGGTCTGCTGTGGGCGCAAGCGTTCGAGCCGCACTTGTCATCGCGTACATGTGACCGGAGTACGAGATGCCATTGGACAGCTCCTGAGCTGACATCATGACCAGCACACGCAGACGCTGCTCGTCATCAAAATGAGGGCTGAAAATGTAAACCGAAGATTCGGCATCAGTCTAAAATCATTACACTTGCACAGAGATTTAAAGATTTATTTTTTCTGTCTCTTTAAAAAAGACTAACCTGTTGAATATGTCACTCCACAGCTGAAACATGTCAGGTAGATTCCTGTCCAGACAGGAAGACGACAGGATAATACCCTGAAAAACAAGAATAAAGACAAAAGCATAGATTGTCGTGCTCTGAACGGCCAACAGCTGCAAACCTGAAGCAACAACAACAACATGAAACCATCTAAAACAGAACAAGACTAATTATTCTTGTCATTCCTGGTCTCATGATCATACCTTTCTCATAGATGTCTTTGTGGTCTGCATGGCTGAGGTTCTGTATCTTCTGCTGTAGTTTCTGTTCCTCAGCTTCAGCCTGTTTCTCCAAGAATCTCTCATCAGGACTCATGGTAAGGGTCAGTCGATGGGTGTTATCCTGAAACAAGCACAGACAAACGTTGCTTACTTCAGCAAACATGTATTAAAAATTGGACATCCTGTTAAAAATGCTGTTTTTCTAAAACACTCCTATTATGACCACAGTCATTTTTAATTTAGTTGTGTTTTTAGTTTTATTATTCTATTTATAGTTTAAAAATTTTTTGTACATTTTTTCACCATTTTCTAGTATTAGGTCTTCATTACCTTAAAGTAGTGCTGGACTTTGTCCTGAAGGTAGCGAGGGTTCTCCTTCAAACACTGCCGGAATCTGGACACATTCTCGCTGATCTTCAGCAGCTGCACCGGATCACCATCATGATTCCAACAGGATGCAATATACTGA